AATTTGCTTACTTTTCTTCTCAGCCTTGGCTTTGTGCTCCCCTCATTTTGTCACCTTTCTGGTTCTGTTTCCATCTCCTCCCACTGCTGCAAAAACTTTTTTGGTTACATCACCAATTTAGCACACTGGTGTGCCACTCATATGAAGGTGGACAAGAAAATGACATTTGAAAAGGGCTAAATATTTGAGAACAAGGGAAAATAGAGACTTTGCTAAAAAAATAATAATGATAATAAACTGGCATAAATGGGAAGAGTAATGCAATCCACTAGAGAATAAGTAAATACCACAAAGATTTTCTTCATCAGAATGAATGAAAATGTTCACTGCATGCATTATTGTAGGGTCTTTACCTTACAATATGAAGTGTCTTGAGCCAACTGTTGTTGTGATTTGGTACTATATAAATAACACGGAATTGAATTGAACTTCAGTGTGGCCAGTTCCCCGTTATCACTATAAAAAAGTCAAAATTAAGAAAGACCTTTTTTTTTTATTTTATTTATTTATTTTTTTAAACATATGTTTTCATCATCATATTGTACGAGACTCCTCAGACCAGACAATGTCCTTCCAATCTTCTAGTGTCCAGTTTTGGCAATAGAAGCTTGTGTGAATTGTAGCTTCCGTTTCCTGTTCTTGGCTGACATAAGTGACACTCTGTATGGTCTTCTGCTACTGTAGCCAATCTTCTTGTGAATTAAGAGATACTATTTTGCAAATCTTCATTTGGAAAATAGAAAAAACCCTGGTGATTATTTGTGTTACAGCTCAAAGCAGTCCAGCTGTTCTCCTCTGACCTCTGGTATCAGTGAGGCATTTTTACCCCTAGAAGTGCCGCTCACTGCATATTTTCTCTGTTTCCTGACCACTCTCCATTTGGTCATCCTAGTAGATCAGCAGTTTCTGAAATACTCAGACCAGCCTGTCTGTCACCAATTACCATGTGACATTCAAAATCATTTAAATCTGCTTCATTTTGATGATAAGTTTGAAGTACAGCTAAATGCATGGGTTTGCTGTCAGACAAAGCCTTGGGTTTTGCCACTGTGATGCTTCAGCTGCAACAGTGTTTGAATAAAATAAGTTTGAAAGCACCAAAAAGTTCACATAAAAATTACTTTACATTATCGGGCTAAATACATGGTTTAAACATGATGAAGACAAAGGCTGTGTTAGACAGACATGATAGCAATATGCTCTGTCAACACGCCATGATTAGCACAAAGATAATGCTATGCTTTGCTAGCAATGCTAATATCAAAGCTAATATTTCTCCATATACTATTTTACAACTGTAATAATCTGTGTGGAGTTGCATGTATTTTGTGTTTCCTACCATTTTGTAAGATTTATTAGCTCCAGTTTCAGCAACGCAGACATCTTTGAACTTAAACTTAAAAAGGCAGGAGGCATGGCACAGTCAAGACCGTGTTAATGCTCTGGTTTGAAACATGCAAACAAATGACACTAAGGCTACGTGCACACTAATGCGTTTTTGTTTAAAAACGCATCGTTTTCTCTCCGTTTTGGCCTCTCGTCCACACTGAGACAGCGTTTTCGCTCATGGAAAACGCACAGTTTACAAAACGCTCTCGAAAACGGATACATTTGAAAATGGTGCTTTCGCATCGCAGTGTAGACATTTAAAATGCAGACTTTGTAAAACGATGATGCATGTAAGTCATATGATGCAATCATGTGACCAATTAAACTAAGATAGCAGAGGGCATTATACAGCAGTTGTTTTGTGTTACTCGCAGCAACAACTCCACCTCATTGTTAGTCCATTTAAAAAACTCGGTGCCTGTTCTTCCTCGACATTTTACCGCGACGTTTCAAAGAGTAAATAAGCGGCAGACAGAAATGAGGCAGGTCGAATCTTCTTGCATTTCATGCATGCATAGTACTGGAACGTAAGCGTTTTCGGATGAAAACGCTCTTTTCAAATCTATCCGGGCTAGTGTGGATGTAACCTAAAGGGTTATCATTGCATTTAAATGTGACACCAAGTCGTAATCAAGCATCCAAACATGAGCAAGAGTCAGTTGAAGTTTTTTATGTGGTATTTCACTAAGTTCATGTTTGTCACATCTGATTTTTATGCAGGGCACATGTTACATGGTTTATCTCATTGTGTACAATGACCTTAAAGTTAATACAGGCTAGAAGAAAGAGTATAATGCTAATGCTAGGGCATAGCTTGTAACACTCTAAAAGTTAGCTAGCACTAAAGTGATTTATAGCAATTAAAAAAAAAACATTCATCATTTAAACAATTTGGTAAACCAAGTCATAAAACAGCTTTGACTGGTGACATTCAGGAACAAGAGCTGCGATTGCCACTGTGGTTTCTAGTGGGTGCGCTGCATTTATTTTATTTTTTTTACTTTCTTGCTGTCTTACATCAGCCTTTACCTCATCTCCTAATTTTTCCATTTTACCTTCTTTGTACTGTCCTTTTCAATCCACACAGTGATGTTCTCTCAAACCTTGGGCTTACTCCACTGCTTCCACACTCTGACCACTCATTTCACATCTTTGCTTCTGCCCTGCAACAGACAGCAGAACTGGTTAGTTTTGCTTCTGTCACAAAGACACCGCTGTTACCACCCTTGTTATGACTTCGCCTGTCTCTTGGCGTCTCCTTTCCCACCGCCTTCCATCTCCATTGGTATTGGGTGCATTTCCAAACTTGTCTTTCTCTGTTGAGAACAAGCCAGCTATTTCTTAGTCAGAACCAATGGCTTTTTTGAGTCTCTGCTTCATGGTGGATGTCAGTACAAGTTCAAAGTGTTATTTTGAGCTTTTTTAAAAGAAATAAAAATAAAATGCAAACTGTTAACTGGTGAATTTGAGAAGGTGACCTTTAACGTTTTGATCGAGAAAGGTTTGCTATTTTCTGTCTTTTTTTTCATGTAAGGTTAATTTAGCTAAACTTTATATCAAAAATGTAATTTCTAAGTACATTTTCTATAAGTGATATGATTTAATCATATCGTGGTTTAATCAGCAAGGTATCTGTTTAGTACCTGTGTGTATCCTATACATTATTAACTGTATATGCTTTGCCAGAGCCTTTTTCTCCACGCTCTGCCTTGCCCTTTTGGGTTTGGTGTTGAAGTACTGAAATGAATCGCTGTTTCCAGACCTTTCATTCATTTACATCACCCCCGTCGTCGGTATGTTTCCACAGTTCCTGCCCCCATTCCTGCTTTTCCAACTCTTTCACCTCTCTCCTTTCACAGCATTAACCGTACACCCTTCATTTCATCCAACACAACCCCCTTGTTTCTCCTCATTTCCTAACAATCCTCTTTCCTCCCCTTCCCAGTTTAATAACAAAGTAAATGGAAAGCATCTCATTGCTTTCACAACCTTTCTCCTCCCTCTTTCAATTCATTTTGAAAAAGTGCTTGCAAGACCACTGTCTTAGTTTCTGCATAACTTGAAAAAAACATTTGCAAGAAAGAAACAACAGCCTTTTGTTTAACAACAATCTTCCAATAATGAGATTTGGGAGTGCACATGTTCCCCCAGCAACAGGTTGTTATCACAGGGTCACTGGCTGGTTTGTTGGACTGCGTAAGTGGAGACTTTAGCAAGCATTTCACCAGCAAATCCCATTAACATCCAACAGCCACTCGCAACTGGTTGGGGAATATGTGTTTTTCCCTCACAGATGGTTGCCAGATGGTCACAAATCAGTCTCTGTGCCTGTGTGACTGGAGCTCATTTCAGTCTATCCTACTTTTTCATCATAATTGTTACAGATGCGAAATTTCAAACACAAAAGTGACTGGTGTCACAACCTGTAGCTGGTGACAAATGTGAGATTTCAGTTGGCTGCCTCTTTCACATACTAGATTGTGACTTTCCAGAACTTGATAAGCTGAAGAAAGTCAATGAATTTGACTGAGTTAGTGAAGTAGAAAATCATCACTAATGAAAACAAATTAATCTAGTCGTGCTTTGGACCCATTGAATTCTCACACATGTGTATCTAATTTGAAAACAAACTTAATAAACTTGATAATGTCTTAAAAACTGAACATGAATTAGATGTAAACGCCACTGTTATTCTTATATATTGATGAGCTCTTTAGCTTTGCATGATTCACAGCTTAAAATAAGCCTTGTGTATCTTTTACTGGACCTCAATTCATCCATGTTTGGCTTCTCCCTATTTTGACCAACTTTATTGTGATTGGCTGTCCCTCATACAAGGCTTGAACATCAGGTGGTCTCCTCTGTGGACACTTTGCGTTGCATGCATCTGCATGCATCCGAGGCAGTGGACTTCAGTGAAGTATAACAGGAATGATTACTCAGCCGTGGTGCCTCCAGCTGCCTGTGTCCTTGTCTGCAACAGAGTATAATTGAGGCCTTGGGGATATCCCCTCTCTATGACATCATGCAGATCCAAGACTTGGAAAACCTCAGTCTGAAGGCTGAGCTTTTGGCTCACAGGGATTACTTTTACATACTCTGAATTCATTATTTGAAATTTTAAACATGTTGATTGCGACAGATCCAAAAAGCATTTTCTTTCTCATTCTCTGTGTTTACATTCACAGCCCTTCTTCTTCTTTCTCTTTGTCTACTCACCAATTTTCATTGGCTCTGATGTTTTCATGTTCACTACTCTAAATAGTAAGCATATGATGTGTCCTCCTTCCATACCCCAAGCGTCTCTTCCTTTTATTCCTTTCTGAGTCTTCTGTAATTTAAAATATGTCTTTCATTCTGTCATCTCCACATCTTGTTGCGCTGTGGACTTTCATCCATCTCTGCCCCTCTTTTACACTCTCTTAAATGTCTTTTTTTTCTTTTTTTTCTCCTACCTCCTTATTCTGCTTTTCCTCTTTCTCTTTTTTTTTTTTTTTTTTTTTTTTTTTGGCCCAAACGTATCTATTACTTTGTAATGTGTGAGTCAGCTATTAAAATAGCCCTTTTTAGGGCTAAATAAACTCCTATCCTGCTCTGCTCTTCCTCCTCAGGTGTATGACCGGGAGCTGGAGAAGATCGAGGATTTTAAAGGACTCTCTGATTTCTGCCAAACATTCAAACTGTACAGAGGAAAGACTCAAGATGAAGGAGAAGATCCCTCAGTGGTGGGAGAGTTCAAGGTAAATGCAAAGTTTAAAAGTTGTTCGGTCGAGTCTCACTATTTGCCATTTTCTTCTAGTCACCACATTGCGAGTTGTTGCAGCCTGATGTGAAGTTACGTATCACATATCACATGCTAAATTGTGCCTAGAGCTTATCTCGATTCATTCATCTTTGTCGGTACTTATTAATTTAAAAGCTTCCTTTACACCACTTCACATCTACTTCTTTAATTCACAATCCCACCACCCCTCTCCCTTATGAACCAGGGCATGTTTAAGATCTACCCCCTGCCAGATGACCCCGGTGCCCCTGTTCCCCCAAGGCAGTTCAGAAAGCTGCCTCCCAATGGCATCGAGGAGTGCTTGGTCCGAGTCTACATCATCCAGGCTCATGGACTCCAGCCCAAAGACCCCAATGGGAAGGTATAAGGGGAGAAAGGGAGAGAAATGTAGAAGAGGATGGCTAGAAAATGTAACCAGAATTAGGTACTCATGGTTAGGATACTCATTAAGGTCAAGGAAAAGATTTGTACCAAGGAGGGTATAAGTGATACCAAGTAAATAGAAGATGACATGAGTTAACAGAAAGCTTGTTTTTCTCAGTGTGACCCGTATGTGAAGATCACGCTGGGGAAGAAGTCAGTCAACGACCATGAAAACTACATCCCCTGTACACTGGACCCAGTCTTTGGAAAGTACGTACACTAATGCCTCTTTGGTCTGTCCCTCTTTCCCCCCTTTCTGTCTATCTGTGCCTAAAACCAAAAGTCTGGACTTCCCCGATCTTGCCGACTCGGAGGCGATCCACAGACTTTCAGAGTCTCTGGTCTAGAGGCAGGCTTCCTTAAACTTCACTCCTCTATCCTCTGTTATTCCATGCAAACCAGCACACCCTGGCACATATTTCATACCACTTGACATTTTCAGTGCCATAAACCACAATGGTTCACAGGGAACTGAATACCTACCCATGGGTTCCTGTTAATTGATGAATTGTTTTATATTGAATGTCTTAATATGAATAAAATGTTAAAAAACAAAATACAGAACAGGAAAATATACCATGAGAAACAATTTATTACACACATTTACACAGGGGTAGGATGAAGTGTACACATGTTGCACTGTTGTCACGTATCATGTATAAAGGTCCCAATCTGTCCCCAAGTTAAAAGGATGTGGATTCAGCCTGTATCTAACTGTGCCACAAATCTTTGTGTATGTGTAGAGGGATGAAGGTTGTATGTCCCGGCTGATTCCTAGTTTGGACAAAAATAATAATAATTGAGGATGCAGTACAAAAACTAACTTTTAAATGTTATTCTTTAACTAAACTGAAGTTTAAATTTTGCATTTGTTTATATTCAGCACTCTGGGACTAATTATGCTCATTTCCACATCCTCATGTTTATTCTTGAGCTCTACTAGAGTCGCTTTGCAAACTTCAAATATTTGTTAATCTTATATTAGGACTTGTTCCTCTGTCTGTTTACCTCTAGCTGTTTTACTGCCCTTCCTTTTAAGGCCACCTCCTTGTTAAGCTAACTTTCCTGTGATTGGATGTCCTTTACAAACAGAAGGTTTGGGTGGGGCTATTGTGCTCACAGACAGAGCAGTTTCCCTCTAATGACTACATCCACTCTGACACCATACAGAGCCTAAGAGCAGACAAAAACTGCCTGAAACCTGAGCATTGTGCTCACATGGATTACTTATACATATACAGAATGTATTATTTGAACCTTTGCTCATTTGCCATGTTTAATATCAACTTCAACCATCATGTACATAAGCATAATTAAAAGTTATTTGAAAAAAGTAATCAATTGGTGGTCGATAAAGCAAATAGACTTTTTTGGAGACTAATAAAACCAGCTGAGTATGAGACGTCATCAGCAGGTGGCCTCTTTGCTTAGTTGGTAATCCAGCTCTGGTGATTGCTGCATAAATTTAGCATGAAGCAGTGTTATAGAGAACTTTTGTATAATTTTATTAAAGCTTCTCTCTATCTTTTTTAGAGCTAATAAAATATAATGACTGTAAAAGAAGCTGACAAAATGAAACTAAAGAGGGTACAATAATAAAACATGGATTCTTAAAATAATTAAAAGACAATCCATTGTAAAATGTTCATAAAACAAAAAAATCTTGATTAAAAAAACCCAACTAACTATCCTCTAACTATTCTATTCCACTTATCCTTATTCAGCTTCACAATGGGCAGGAGCCTATCCCACCTACAATAGGGTGAGAGGCGGGGTACACACTGGTCAGGTCGCCAGTCTGACCCAGTTCTAACACAGACCCACAACCATTCAAACCTATGGGCAATGTAGAATAACCATTTAACCTAACCCCACTAAGTGCATGTCTTTGGACTGTGAGAGTACCCAGAGAAACCAGACAGACACAGGGACAGCTCTGCAAAATCATGTCTTACATGATGATGATGAGGATCCAGTCTAAATACATGACTCAGAATTATTTCCATAAGCACACATACTGAATTCACTCTGTCACTCTTTTGTATGCTTGTTACTCTATTTTGTGTCCTTCGCCCTTATGTGTGTTTTCTTGCCAGTAGGGGTCACTACACACAAACCAATCAGAGCACCAGACCACAGTAGAGCAGAAACTTGGTGCACATCAGAGCTCCGACTGCTGGCTGTAAACTGCTCTCAGTCAGTGTGACAAGTCAGTGCACACCAGCGTTCTGCTAAAATGTCCTTCCATAGACTCATTAAGACGGCAACAGGGGGATAGGCTTGACAAATGTCCTAGCAGACCAGCACACATTACTCATCACAGGAGTGAAACTTAAGAAGTTCCTTCAAGTGGACGTGCAGATTTATGCTCCTTTTCCAGGAGGTTTTTTCTGACATTGCATGTTAGGACATAATTTTGGCCTTAAAAACCACAAAAATTGTATCTGCATTTCAATCACTTCTACATGCATTTAAAATGTGATCACAATTCCTGTCATTGATGTGGTCACACAAATGCGTGAGAGGCCACTGGAAAGCTCCTAATGCCTGAACCAAAGCTGAAAATCCTTTTCTGCTTTCCTTTTCTACAGGATGTTTGAGCTCACATGTTCTCTCCCACTGGAAAAGGACCTTCGCGTGATGCTGTACGACCACGACATGCTCACCAAAGACGAGAAGATCGGCGAGACGGTGATTGACCTGGAGAACCGCTTCCTGTCCAAATATGGAGCCATGTGTGGCCTGCCACAGTCATATCATGTGTGAGGAGACATTTTTTTCTGTTTATTAAGCTTAAACTGAATTTCAATTAAACTGATAAAATTAGACCCTGAACTGTTCCAGATGTCACCCAACAGAAATGGATGTGAGAACAAAACCTTTTTTTTGTGACAATGATTATAGACAGATATAACAAAATAAATAAGACTTTATTTATATTATTTTTTTGTCTCTCACCTGTTAGATCTGGAGTAAACCAGTGGCGAGACCAGCTGACACCCACGCAGCTGCTATACAGATTCTGTGAGAGAAGAAATCTGCGGAAGCCAGTCTATGAAGACGAAGCAGTCCGCTTCAAAGGAGAACGATACATCGCTGCCGACCTCGGTGCAATAATAAATCTATACAGTTCGTTATATTGATACATTTACTGTATATAGATATGAAATACTTGAGCTGTACATTGATCAGGCATACAGTTTAGAGCACTGTCACTGAATCAGAGCATCTCCAAACCTCCCGCTATTATGGGATGTTGCCGGTCTGCAGTGGTCGGTTTCTATTAGAAGTGGTCCAAGGAAGGAACGGTGGTGGACCAGCAAAAGGGTCATGGTGGCCAAAGCTCACTGATGCACATGGCAGCAAAGACCGGCCCGTGTGGTCTGATCCAACAGACGAGCTGCTGTAGCTCGAACTGCTAAAAATGTCGATGCTTGTTCTGATAGAAAGGTGTCAGAATACAGAGAGAGTCACAGTTTGCTGGGTTTGTGGCTACATAGCTGCAGGCCAGTGAGAGTGCTCATGCTGACTACTGTCCACCACCGAAAGCACCTACAGTGACCACAGAACAATGGAAGATGGTGGCCTAGTCTGATGAATCATGTTTTCCGGGTTTGCGCGTTGCTCACTTGGGGAACACCTGGCACCAGGATGCACACAAGCCCACCGAGATAATGTGATGCTCTGGGGAATGTTCTGCTGGCAAACCCTGGGTCCTACCATCCATGTGGATGGTGCTTTGGCACATAGCACCTACTTAAGCCTTTTTGCAGATCCTATATTCACCTTGCACAGGGACTCTATTACCACCTCCAAACCCCTTTTCGCCATAGTCCATATTGTTGTTTTTGAGATCTTTTAGCTGACTTCACTTTGTCTAATATAAAAATTTGGTTCATGAAGTATTTAAGCTAAGCAATGAGGACTGGGGCAAATACTGCATAACACAAAGAAGAGCAGTAGTTTACAACCTTACAGCAGTGAGTGGGAGCAGAGGCAGAGCAGAAGACGTGAAGGTCTCACTTTCAGTTTCACTGTCAAATGATGGCTAAATGCCTAAATAAATAAACAAATCAGGGATGCCATCATGAAAAACGTAAGAAATCTGATTTGAGAACAGTAAAACATTTTTAAATGAGTAAAGGGACTCCACAGATCAGATATTAAATGGCGTTCTACCAGCTTTGGTGGACATGTCTCAGTCTTAGCAGCTGTTATGCTGTTTGTGTTTTGATTAGAGCGTCGCCGGCGCCGCCAAACACAAACACACTTTTCACACAGCTGATTAAGTTGCTTACCAAAAATACAAACCGCAGATTTGTACCGTCCACATATTCACGTATGCTCAGTGCCCCTTAAGTACATTTACAGCAAGTAAATCAGTCTGCACTGTATTCCCACTGCACCCATATCCCCCTCGCTCTCTTCTTTTTCTTCCTTTATTTGTGCTTTTCTTCCTCCTTTCTATTCTCTGCTTTTCTTTCTTCATCTTTTCTGTTCTTCTTTCAGTTTGACCCCATGATTCTGCTCTTCACAGCATCCATCACGCCGTCTACATCACCCTCATTTTCCGTCTTGTTGTTTCTTGTTTTTCTCTTTCCTTTTACCTCCTTGTCACCGTCCTCTCCTCTTTTCTTTTCACTCACTCTCATCATTATCTCGAACTTTCTGGCACCTTAATTTCTTTCTCTGTGTCTGATGTTTTCCTTCTTACGTGTTCTTTTCTACCATCCCCTCTCCATATTTGTTGGGATTTACATTATTCTTGGGTTGATATTGTTCATTTTCGCTTTTCATTTCAAACTCTATTCTAGTCTAGTTTCAAAGCACATGTTTCCACATGTGCAGATCAGTTTATAAAAATAAAATTAAACCTGATTGGAGCCATCGCCCGTTTTAGGCTCTCATCGTTCCTTCATTATCCAAGTCAGACCATTTTACCATGGGCATTCAATTTGAGCAACATTCTGTGCCAAGCTGACCCATGTTGTGATCACTGGCAATGTTTTGCATGTTTCTTTGGACAAGTTCAGAGTGTTCAAGCCTGAAGGCATTATAAATGGTAAATGGACTGAATCCTAAATTCTGCTTTTCTACTTTGAGCCTCGTTCATCCATACAAGCTCTTTTTTTTTTTCTACACGTAAGTGCTTTTTATCGGACATTCACACTTCAATGAATACAACTCAGGGTTCAGTATCTTTCCCAAGGCATGCAAACTGGAGCAGCCAAGAATCGAACCACCATCTTTCCAATTAGTAGATAACCTGAGGTACAGTCACCCCCAACAGGCACCAGCAGGTCAGGAGTGAAACCAGGAGCACGTTTGTGAGTAAGTAAAGTAAAATTTTATTTATATAGTACCTTTCTAGATAAAAAGATCACAACATGCTTCACACAGGGATGACGAAGTATAAAACAAAAACAGACAAAAGTTAACAAAATGCAATTCTAAAAAGATGTGTTTTTAGCTGTTTTTTAAAAAAAGAACGACTGAGTCCACAGATCTTAAGCTCAGTGGGAGAGAGTTCCACAGTCTCGGGGCCACAGTGTCAAAAGCTCTGTCTCCCTTAGTAGTTTGTAGCTTTATCAGACATCCACAGGGTCAATCACAGCACGCTGTGATTAAGTCTCCCCTCAGGGCTAACAGGGAAGTGTTCAGTAACATCCTGAGGTGTCTAAGGAAGAACTTACCTTAACAGTTACCTGAACTAACACTGTGAGTCAATGTGATCTCAACATTTGGTTTCTTGGAAAAAAAAAAACTTTCTCAAATGAATCGCACCTTACATTTAATATCATCATCTTTCTTCTCGGTTTTGCCTTTCATCCTCCTCCCCTTCATTTGCTCCCCTTCTATCCTTTCGTACTTTCTCCTTGCTCTTCTACTTCTTTGCTTCCCCCGTTCAATTTTTCCAACATTTCACTCCTTCTACTCACTTTCTTTTGATGCTTTCTCACCCTCATCACCCCCTCCTTCCCTGCCCAATGCCTCAGTTTTACCCTCCTCCTCTGCCACTAAAGAAATGGAGGTGTAGAGAAGAAAAAGGAGGTGGGGGAGTGAAACCGCAGGACCACCTGAAGAGTGGAGTGATGAGATAAATATTCAAGATTCATTATCATCCCTGTGTGCACACAAAGCCGACCCACACATATGTTCCATGCAGGCTGCTACGGTGCGGAGGTCACGCTTGTCGTTTTTTGTTTTTTTTTTTTGGGGGGGGGGGTTTTTGGTACGTACGTGTGTGTGTGTGTGTGCATTCTTGTGTGGATGAGCCAACGTCAACATCATGGTCGTCTCTCGGTTGGTGAGGAGCGCTGCCGCAGCGTTTTCTTTCCACAGTTGCCGCGGTTACTGTGCGTCAGCTTGCTGTCCATCAAGCGAGGCTGCTAATTGGCCAAAAGGCCACGATCCTCATCCTCCCCTCATGAGTTTGGCTTTTCTTCGCTCTCTCCACCTCTTCGTCACATTCGTTTGTTTTTTCTTTCTTCACTTTGTTTCTTTTATTCACCTTCTGTCTTGAGTTTCTGCTCTTCTTCCATCCTTTGTGCCTCTCTACTTTTTGCTCTCCATCCTCTTTTTTTCGGTTGTATTTTTCTTCCTTTTAGTTTTAATATGAATTGCTTCTCTTGTTCTCTTTTCTGTGGGTTTGTTGTCTCAGAAGTCAAATTAAATATCTCTTTTGGCTTTCCACTTCGTCTCATCCCTCCTCTGTGCTTTTGCCTAGTCTCGTCCTTCTGCTTTGCTCCTCTTTCATTTTCCTCTCTCATCTTCACATCTCCCCTCCTCTCCTCTGCCTCCTCAGTCTTTCCTTCCTCTCCTCTTACAGCCGAGGTGACTCCAAGTTTACAGTCATAAACTTTTGACGTTAGCTTGATATTTTCATTTTGCTTGGAAGCCGTGAAGATTTTCCTCATTTGGTTGTGATGCAGAGAGAACAACCAATGCTTTAGAGTGTGTTAGTGTCTCACTAAGTGTGTATGTGCGTATGAATAATGAATTATTCCTAAGTGACCTGCCTGCTTCCCAGTTTGCCCAGTATTCTGGATTTCCATTCTCCAGTCTTGAGTGGCCCGGCCCTGTACTTAAACCCTAATCTCTGCATGTGTGTGTGTGTGTGTCTGTGTGTGTGTGTGTGTGTGTGTGTGTGTGTGTGTGTGTGTGTGTGTGTGTCTCTGTGTGTGTGTGTCATGTTTTCAGAGGACAAAAATGTGTCCAAACGTCATCTTGGCCCAATTAAGGAGCGACTGTCCCTTCACATCTTGAGGAAACTGGGATTGATACCCGAACATGTGGAAACCAGACCACTCTACAGCCCGCTCCAACCTGACATAGAGCAGGTAGCACGCACACACACAATCCTGCACTTGTGTGTGTGCTTAAGTTCTTCTCAGTTTCATCCTTTCCCACTTTTTTTTTCCTGAGCATTTTCTTACCTTTTGTTTGCTTGTCGGTGCTCTCTGTCAGGGGCGTCTGATGATGTGGGTTGACCTCTTCCCCAAGTCTCTGGGACTACCTGGACCGCCGTTCAACATCACGCCACGAAAGGCCAAAAAGTAGGAACACAAACACACAAATATGTCAAGAAAGGAAAAATCCATTTCCCGTTCTGATAACCAAAACAAGTCAATCAGTATCTGAGGTAATTGAATCTTTTTTTTTTCAGGTTCTTCCTGCGTTGCATCATCTGGAACACCAGTGATGTCATCCTGGATGATGTCAGCATCAGCGGGGAGAAGATGAGCGACATTTATGTCAAAGGGTAAGAGGAACAAATCATTTAACTTCAAAATAAAGAAAAATAAACTGGGTGAGGGTCACAATAACTGATTCTGTCTTTCAGCTGGCTCGACGGACATGAACACAACAAGCAGAAGACAGACGTCCACTACCGCTCTCTGGGAGGAGAGGGGAACTTCAACTACAGATTCCTGTTTCCCCTCAACTACTTACCAGCAGAGCAACTGTGCGTCGTTGACAAAAAGGTAACAACGAGCCCAAATACAGCTAAGGACCCTGTGTTTGGTTTGAATAAATTAGACCCACTGGGACATAAAATCCACTGTGGTCAGGCTGTGATTTCATGCCATCGTCATGATCTTTAAGACTAAATTTAGCAATCACTTGACAATAATTTATTATGCTGCATATGCGGTTTAGAAACCAACGAAGAGACGAGTGTTGAAAAGTTTGAAAGAAAGGTGTTCTGGGAATACTTATACTGGGCTTTGAAAGTTGTGTTTGGACACTGATACAATTAGGCTACCAATCTACATTTTCCCCTTCAATAAGTGGTGAGTAACTAATGCACTTTCTGTGAACTAACCTTTCAAGTAAATGTGAGGATTCCCATTTGGAAATGCCATCCATCCAGCTTGTTGTAACTTCGCCAGGGTATGATTTTAGCATCTGACCACCAAAGTAGAGGAAATGCAGGGACGAGCTACCCCTCAGTAGTTAAAGCACATGTACGTCATCACCTCTGTCACAGCGCACCACACAGTAGATTAAAAACCACAGAGGAGTCAGAATACTAGGATACTTTAACTTAAAACCGAGAAAGTTCTGAGTGACCTGATGACATTTTTAAGAGTAGTGTTGTTGCTACTATGCTAACTAATCTATGCTTCAATAACATTTGAAATTAATACTATTCCTGAAAATCATCCTGGAGCACAGATATTCCTGACATACTTGACGTTTTGAACATAAAAACACAGGGATAATGAGGTGTTTATAGTTTGTTACAATAATGAAATATTCACAGGCCTCAAGGGTTAAGGTGGGATGTACAGAAATGCAGAAATAATGTGCAAATTATTATAGAAAATGTATTCTATAGAGCAGCAGTCCTAAACCCCCGGCCACAGAGCGGTACCGGTCAATGAGTCACTTGGTACCGCGCCGCATGATTTGAGACTTGAAATTTATGGTTTTCAGGGTTTTTATCGTTAACTCGGTTTCCCTGGGTCTTTTCCCGTGTTGTAGTTGTGAGTCTTATTTTGAAAGAACTATTTACATGTTACCATAGTGACCAGAGAGCATTAAGGGGCAGAGGATGTTACTCTCAATGTTGTTGGCACATTTCAGGAGGACGCTGCATTTTTTTGTGTTGGTCATATCATTTTATTTTGTTGTATTTATCCGCGACACCTTAAAGGCCGGTCGGTGAAAATATTGTCTGACATTAAACAGGTCCGTGGCACAAAACAGGTTGTGGCTGCTATAGAACAACACATATTTGGAAGGAATGCCTGAGATGTATTGTAATCAGAGATGGGCAGTAACATGTTACAAGTAATGCATTACTGTAATCCGATTACTTTTTTCAAGTAACGAGTAAATTAAGGGATTACTATTGCAAAAAAGGTAATTCGATTATTGTTACTTTCCCGTAAGCACTCTGCGTTACTGCGTTACTAAAACCGTGATTTATTTATTTATTTTTTTTTGCAAGAATGTCTCATGACAATGATGTAAGCGAGTGCGACGTTCGTGACAACAGTATGGACGTACTGACCTTACTTTGAGTTTGATTCCATAAAAAGTGACAAAAACATTAGTGTTCGTTGTGCGTGGGAAGAAAACTTTACAGCGAAAAAAACCCCTAAACTTCTACGACGTAATGGGAAATTCACAGAGAAACTCGCAGATTCTTCCACTGACCGCAGCACACCTGCACCAGGGCAAACCTCCGCCTACCCCACTCCTGCTTTACAGGTGAAAATAGAGCAACAGGACCGCTAGTCTTTGACTTTATTTATTTTCTGCTGTGTTTCACTTGCATTTATTTGAAAGAGTGAGTGTAAACACAAAAAAACATATTTTATTTTATTTTATGTGCTGGAATGTGCAGAAAATAAATAAATGTTAAACAAATTTCTTCCAGTCAGAGAATGTTGCAGATAATTAAATTTTTGCTTGATGCATAAAGTTAAAAGATTAAAACTGATAAAGCAAGTTTTAAAAAGAGACTTTTCCATTTGATTACATTTTGTATGATGGATTATGTAGAAAAAGTAGAATTGGGCTGAAAACTCTATCGCTTTATCACCTATTCAGGTTGTAAATCATGTTTTTAAAAAGTAACTAAGTAACTAAGTAATTAATTACTTTTGAAAATAAGTAATCAGTAAAGTAATGGAATTACTTTTGGGTGAAGTAATCAGTAATTACTTACTGATTACTTTTTTGAAGTAACTTGACCAACACTGGTTGTAATATACCTTACTTTGTCATAAAGTGATGCAGAAAATTTACAAAATGATTCATAAAAGTTTGCAAATATGCAGAAAATTTGTTTGACCTGAAAATATCCTGATAAAGAAACCTCCACCTCCTTACCCCCATACTCCAGCCTATGTATTGATAACATTCAGTTCCTGCAAACAGACGCACACTGTAAACTTGTTCAGTTATAATGAAAAAAAACCTCGCTACAAGCCCCTTGCTCAGTCCAAAAAACAGCCTCAAATTTAGTTGAATCTTATCACCAGTTAGTTTCTATGAGCTGGAGACATGTGGCAAAACCATCACACCCAAACATGAGCCAGTGCACAAAGTTCGGTCAGGGGGAATTTCCGAGGCGAGGCCGTCCCTCCAGAGTCCTCTAACGAATCTACTGTGGCCTTCAGTTAACAAAAATAATGATGTGACAATTTAACAAGAAAGAGTTGTGAGTTAAATGTTGTTGAATCTCTGAGACTCAACAATAACACTGAGTGAAGAGCTAAAATAACATCACTCCCGAAAACTGGAATAACAACCCGGCTGTCATTTGCTTTTCTTGGCATGAGCCAGAGGCTCTTTAGCCGCTCGCGGCCGACATGTTTTACGATGGCATTCTCTCACTTGCAGCAGCATCTTCAATCAGCAAGCGGCTGAACAGACGAGAGGGAGTTTTAAATGAAAAACTCCGCTGGGCGGAGAGAGCCTCAGCTCGAAAACAGAGCTGCGGCCAGAATCTGAGTTTATGAAGCCAGAAACCTCAGCGGTTGGTGATATAATCACTGAGTCACAGGAACAAATCAGCGGCGCTATCAACACTCTGCAGTCTTGCTGTGTGATGGTCGGATGGGGTGTGTGGAAGGAAAAGTCACACTTGTTGTCTTTTCCAGCTTGATTAGTTCAACCATGTCACCATGACGTCTGTTTTTCTGACTTCAGCCTTAAAATTCAGCCTTCAATTGTAATGTCAATCTATCATTCAGTTTAATGATTAAAATGTTTAAATATACCTTTCGCGTTCCCTCACAGCGCAGTGTGATATCTGAAGTGTTCTCCTTGTGTCTGACCAGAACTCCAACCCACTCAGATTGACTCGCACATAAACCAAAGGACTGAAAGTCAAGTAGTGATGGAGTTGTCAATGTACAATTCAGTGTGGTAACTGGGAATGTGATTTTTAGGCAAATTAATTAAAAAAACAAAAACAGATTAGTCATTTTGGGGAGATTTCCCTGAATTTTAACACTTTGGATCGCCAAAACCTTTGGTGCCTCACCGATCATTTGCATAATGGGAGGACAGCGGATGAAATGTAGCCTCTTGATGCTCAATAATCCAGGTAAAGAAATCCGAACGATTTGATTCAGTTTGTCTGAACACCACACTTTCAGCAGGAGAAACATTTCCTCACTCATCCATTTGGATGTTCCAATAATATAATTTTGCTGAGTTGATATCTGTTAATAAAATAATGAACAACTAGGGAAACTAGAGACACAGGCATTATTAAGCATTGCAGGCCCATTAACATCACTAACAGAGGTCATTAAAATATTTTCCTAGCAGCAGATCAAGTATATTAGTAAGACAGCATTGCTCGCCAGTGAAAGCAAACAAATTTATCCAAACTGGAATATTCTCCATTTTTCTTCACAATCAGTGGCGTTGCCTTGGCCTCCAGTAAGGCTGTGAAGGATGTTGGGATTGTTAACCAGGATATGTCTTTCAATGTCGGCAACAAATATGTGCATTTGTGCAACATCTCTAAAATTAGAAACTTATTGACTCAGAGTGATGCTGAAAAACTAGTTCATTCAGGTTAAAATACTGAAAAACCATCAGCTGATCCAAAATCCTGAAGTGAGAGTACTGACAGGGAGCAGAAAGAGAAAGCACATTGACTCTTTTTGATTGGCTCCACTGGAGACTCTTGAGCTACACCCTGTAGGCACACCAGCAGTTTGAGAATTTTACCGCCCTTTGAAGCACGACTGACCAATAACATTGCTCCAGTGCTTTTGTTACAGGTGTTTCAAATTCTTTAATTAACTATGATTTTGAAATTGATTTCCCGTGCGTGCCTTGTTTGCACAGATTTTCCATATCAAACTCTTTGACAGTGTTTAAGACATTTACACACCTGTCAAATTTTGCCACTGTAAGTATACTTGTTTTGTTACTGAAACTTGACAATGCCCAAAGAACAAAGGCACACTAGCTGAATTTATTTATGCTGTATGTAGTTCAGCTCCATCATTAACTCAGGACGATGAGTGAAGGAAGTTGGAAAGAAGACAAAACGAGTTTCTGCACTTAGCACTCTGGCAACAAAATGACAAGCTGATGGCTGCTGATTGCTGCTGCTAGATACTGCAGCAGTTTGACACACACACCCACACCCACACACACACATATAGACGTCCCACCCTGACTTGTGACATCTGTGAAGTGATAACTTGGATGTATGTAGTTTGTAGATGAAGTGAGCCAAGGAGCTTACAAAGCTTTAAGAGCGACACACGCACACACAGAGGGTGTAGTGCGTTTACTGTAACAGGATGGCGACTACCTAACCCTGGCACATGTATGTACAGACAGAGTAGAGCTGTGGAGACCTGGCTTCTGTGGTCTTGTTCCGCTAACCGTAAATAAAGGTCTGTTGTTCTATTCAACTAACTGGCCTCCGAGTTGTCCCTCCAGATGCTAAGAAAAATTACAGTGGAACCCCGACTTACAAATACCCCATTTAACGAAAAATTCAAGTTACGAAGGCACTGAACGGCAATATTTCTGCCCGTGTTACGGCAAAATGCTCGCGTAACGAAATCCGCTGACTCTGATTGGCTAAGCCTACAATGCCCACAATGCCTTCCGAATCATGTGACAACCCCTTGGCTTTTGTAATTGCGCTTCGCTGTTCCACTTGAACGACATATTGTTGTTCTAGTTATCAATTAGCCTATAGCCTATCGTTCAGCATCGCCTCACTCAAAAGGCGCGATCGGTGCTTCAACTTGTGGGGCGATCGTGGCTCAAGAGTTGGGAGTTCAGCTTGTAATCGGAAGGTTGCTGGTTCGAGTCCCGACTTGGACAGTCTTGGTCGTTTTGTCCTTGGGCAAGAGACTTAACCCGTTGCCTACTGGTGGTGGTCAGAGGGTCTAGTGGCGCCAGTGTCTGGCAGCCTCACCTCTGTCAGTGCTCCCCAGGGTGGCTGTGGCTACAATGTAGCTTGCCATCACCAGTGTGTGAATGACTGGATATGTAAAGCGCTTTGGGGTCCTTTGGGACTAGTAAAGCGCTATATAAATACAGACCATTTACCATTTGCGAAAATTTTCGACTTACGAAAGACCCTCGGGAACATTTTGTAAGTCGGGGTTCCGCTGTATGTATCACACAACCACTTGGTGAATGGTTGTTGGAGGTTTCCTCTCTGTCGCTAGGAGAATTTGCCAGCTAGCGACAGCTACGTCCAAAAAGAGGCGAGGAAGTATACAGTGTCGCACACAGAAAACATATGTGTAATTTCTTCTTCTTTCCTACGGGTGACAAAAACTAAATTCAAATGTCTGCTCTCAGTTATAAAAATGTTCACCTAACATAAGATGAAGGAGCAAACTATCCAAATGTATTTGAGTTTTTTTCTGTAGCACACTGCAAATATGTTTTGTTTTTGTTTTGTTTTTAATGCCTTTTAGTTCAATATTTTAAAACAACAGTTTCTGGATATGTACTCACTTTGCGAGCCAGCCTCTAGTGTCCACATGAGGAACTACCAGTCCACAAATGTCATCAACTCTGTTATCCAGTCAGTGGGTCAGCATTTAATGGCTTCAGGTCATTTAAAACAATATTCAGCCCCTGAAAGAGGGTCTCAGACTAAAACCTGCTACCCCCTCGACCTGATCGTACTGAGTGGGGGTATGCCCTGCCTCCATGATGCCACCATGATGGCACCGCAACACCAGCATGAAAAGGAATGAACAGATCCTGGGATTATTGCTCCACAGTAACAGACACGAAAGAGTCAGAGGGAGAAAATTAATATTTGCATTCAAAGGTTGCCAAGTGCAACTTTTTGTTTGTGGAAAATCTCCTTGCTATATTAAGTAACAGCAACATGCTGTCGTATTCTGCAAATCACAGAGGGGGGTAATTTTAATTCAGGTGTGAAAAGCCGTACTTTATGTCAGCATAACAAAGTCTCACAAGCAGATAAAAAGGACGACTGAGCGAATGGAAAGAGAAAGAGAGGAACTTGATGTGCAGCAGCTGCACAGTGAAGCCCATTAGCACAAAGGTGAGATGGGATCAGTTTCTGTCTGCCAGTGTGGCGTGAATTTACCAGAGGCCATAATAGCTATACTGTAACACACACCACGCACACACACAGACTTCCAGTATGGAAGTGGAGATGCAGTGAGACCTGTGCTGATGGAGTGGCTGCAACATCTTTCAGCACAATTTGAGAACATTTAGAGAAGAATGAAGCAGACTTTTAAAGGTAAATCACTTTCTATTATTATTATCCTTATGAAATCTAATTTCCAAGAGAGACCTGGTCAATAGGCAGCAAACGTAACAACAAATTGCATAACAAGTAGAAACCCAAATATTCAGTACAAACCAGTGAGCATGTGTGAATCATATGCAATAGCAGGTCATTAAGGGCGACATTAAAAACAGTAACACTGACCAAAAGATTTATTCTATCGCTCCTTTAAAATAGATATAAAGCTGCTGAGTAGCTGGATAGTGGTGGTAGTGGTAAGACTACACGGATCCCAGGACACACTGATGAGAGTTGGCCTACGGGAACAAGAAGACGCAAGTGGGCAAGTTATGAGAACACCTCGCTGTGGGAATGTTAGTACACTTGTAACCCCAAATTCAAATTTTATTTGTCACATACACAGTCATACACAGTACGATATGCAGTGAAATGCTTAGACAACTGCTCGTGACCTAAAGAAAAAAAGACTATGAATAGGATAGGAAATAAATATGAAAATTAAAATGAAGGGTAAATTTAGCTAAGAAGGAATAAAATAGAATATAAAAATTAAAGTTAAAAATAAAATAACTGTACAACAAAATACACAATATAGAAATATATATATATATATATATATAGATAGATAGATAGATAGATAGATAGATAGATAGATAGAACAATAACAGCAGCTGTACAAGTACTAAATGGTATGAAGAAATATAAAGTCCAGGGTTGTGCAAGCGGAAGGGGTTACATGAATAGGATGAAGGACCTATGAAATCTTCAATACCAAACACAAATTCTACAGCAAGGGGAGCCAGGATGACGGGTGAAAGGGGAGATATCATCACCTCCACCCGAGATTAGGTACCAAGCCCCAAGTTCGATGGAAGAAGAAGGGATGAGTGTGAGAGGAACGGACCTGAAAGAGAGTTCATCGGGATAGATAGATATTTTAGTGCTGTCAGCGTTACTCTCGTTAAAATGACGTTAACACCATAACTGCATTAACGCGGCAAATCTCCGTTAACGAGCTTACCCCGCGCGTGGGGCTACACGGCGTCAACGCGTTTGCACGGTTAGCTCATGCTAGAAAACAAATATTATATTAAAGGTGCATGGTTTTCTTATTGTGCCCTCAATGCTAAATCTTAAAATTGCATTATGTAAGCTACAAAATGTCAGGTATACAAAACAATGGTGTTGCACATAACTTGCTGGAAATGTGTGGATGCTACACCGATAGCTACGGTAAAAACTTTTGATAGCTATTGTGAAAAAAGCGCAGATTTGGATTAGATCTTCCCTACACGCACAAAAATCAGTCACACTCACTGATTCCTTTCACCTCTAGTGGACTGGATTCACACAGCAATTACAAAGTGGAGCTCTGTTACTGTTACAGACACTTCACGTTAAAAATGGTTCCTTAAGGTTGGAGTCTTTGACTTTAATGAAATCCCCACCAGTGATGTAGTCAGTGCAGCCATGAGTGGTGACAAACCTCCAAACTCCATGTGATAAACCTGCTGGTACCTCCAGCATTATGTATGTTTTTCTCAGCCTGAAATGGACACAGCTGAGGAGAAATAGGTTTATGATATTTAGGTAAACAAATTTATTCTTAAATCTTTTCATAATTTCCATTTCATATCACAATGTATTTGCTCCATATCTCCATATAACCCATTTATAGATGAATTTTTTAAATATATATTTTTATTTGTAATTTTTCCATGTATTGTTTGAGTTCTTTTCTTTCTTTCAACATTTCTTTCTTTCGCTGACAGCCTTGTCAGCTGGCATGTTTTCCAAGCACCAAGCGGTTGTTTCAGTCTTTAATGGACATAAATAAAAAGGTAGATCTTCTTTCAGGGCTTCTATAACCCAAGTGTTGACCCTGTACCTCTGTACAAGAATAAACAAAATGAATCAGAATTCATGTTTTGAGGATCTATCATTGAAAGAAGGAACCTGGTGTTATAAAATTGCAGCTGTTTCCCATTTTCTGCCTTCTGTTTGTGTGCAGGAACATTTCTGGAGTCTGGATAAAGCCGAGACTAAACTGGCTCCTAAACTGACCATTCAGATCTGGGACAACGACAAGTTCTCCTTTGACGACTACCTAGGTAAAAACCATCACTTTGACTGTCTGTGTTTGTTTTTTCTGGCGTGCCACATTGTGTTTACTGTGAAAATGAGGTGAGGTCTTTAAAAAAAAATCATGATTTATCTCATCCTGCTGTCACAGCTGGTTGGTCCCAGAGATTTTAGACCCATGATGTGTGGTAAAAACATAATTGGATTTCCTTCACGAAACTTCAGTGAAATCAAAGTCGGACTAAAAGCCATTTCTTCTGTTCGTTGATTTACTGTAAAACGTGTAAATGGATCCCTATTCTCCAGGTCAGAAACACATGTGCTCGACTTTGGATGGTTTAAATGCACTTAACTCATTTGTGTATGACATTTAGACAGATTTCCCCTCATTTCTGGCTCAAGGTTTAGAGGTAAATATATCCAGGGAACCATATGTGCGATGTACGAACAGCTACTGTGATAACATTTATCTTTAGAATTAGCACTCGCCCGTTTCCACTGTGTCTGCACATTTTACAGCAAGGGAGGGGCTGCTTTTTCTGCTTTTTTTTTTTTCTCGAGTCTCAAGCTGTCCAAATTCTGCCTTTCCTTCACCCCTAACGCTGCCCCAGCCCATTCCCTTAAAATAACTTACCACCGAGATTCTCCCCTTTCGCTCCCCCTGCATGGGTTCAGCTTCTCTTCTTTATTTTTGCCAAAGAAGGGAGGATGACAGTCTGTGGACGGAGCGTCCCTCTGCGGTGAGAGACAAGGAGGAAGATGAGGAATCCAGATTCTGACCTGTTCCTGTCTGTCACCGTCTCGCTCTGCTGCAGCGTTTTCTCCCGCTCGACTTTATTCACCTCATAGAGTCTGCGGGTGTGTGGCCACCTCAAAGCATTTTTTCCATGCCTGCCTGTCTTCAGCTCGTCGGCTCGGACCGCCGACTGTTAATCTTCCTGCACGGTGTGCGGGTCAGACACGAGCCATTTTCCTGCGGTTGTACTGTCAAACTGAAGCTAACTCTGGAAAAACACTTCCAGTGGATCTCTGGTCTCTCTTCAGCCCACAACTTAATGTCAACAAAGATCAAACCTTTTACTAGCTACCCTTCACCACAGGGTCGCCAATAATTCACTCAGCGCACGCTCGATAATTAGTCATTCAGAAAAACTGGCTAAACAGACAGCTGAATCTGCTGAGTTTTAGAGATCTAAGCCTGGCTTGCTCCAAAATATCCATCTCCTCCAACCCTGCTTTAACAAATACAGAGTTCAGGCTGTAAAATATTTCACTGCACGAAAAGTGCAGTTTATCGGCTAACAGAAAACTCCCGGGAATTGTCGTGGTTGACATAGTTTGACTTCCTGGCAGATTTATGGATGTTCACCTGGCAGAAAGTTGGTTTTTTTTTCCTCCATTGTTTGTGTGATCTTTACATCGTCTCATGAGATGTTAAACCTTGAGCCAATCATAGCTTGACATTTTCATATCTAGTACAATGTCATTAGGAAAGAGCTGCAAGGGAAACAACATGAAGAGAAACAAGAGGATATCATTGGTTAATGTTGTTGCACGAAAAGGTGCCCTATCGAGAGTTTACACTGCATGTTTCCCCAGCTTTTATTATTCTGATCCATCAAGGTGGGACAATGAAGTCATTTTTTATATTCACAAGTGTAAAGCTAATGCTAACTATCCGTGCACCATCGTCTTCAATTCAATTCAATTCAATTCAATTTTATTTATATAGCGCCAAATCACAACACAAGTCGCCTCAAGGCGCTTCATAGATACAGAGAAAAAAACCCAACAATCATATGACCCATGAGCAAGCACTTTGGCAACAGTGGGAAGGAAAAACTCCCTTTTAACAGGAAGAAACCTCCGGCAGAACCAGGCTCAGGGAGGGGCGGCCATCTGCTGCGACCGGTTGGGGTGAGAGAAGGAAGACAGGATAAAAGACATGCTGTGGAAGAGAGACAGAGGTTAATAACAGATATGATTCAATGCAGAGAGGTCTGTTAATACATAGTGAGTGAGAAAGGTGACTGGAAAGGAAAAACTCAATGCATCATGGGAATCCCCCGGCAGCCTATGTCTATTGCAGCATAACTAAGGGAGGATTCAGGGTCACCTGGTCCAGCCCTAACTATATGCTTTAGCAAAAAGGAAAGTTTGAAGCCTAATCTTAAAAGTAGAGATAGTGTCTGTCTCCCGAATCCAAACTGGAAGCTGGTTCCATAGAAGAGGTGCCTGAAAACTGAAGGCTCTCCCTCCCATTCTACTTTTAAATACTCTAGGAACAACAAGTAGGCCTGCAGAGCGAGAGCGAAGTGCTCTAATAGGGTGATATGGTACTACAAGGTCATTGAGATAAGATGGGGCCTGATTATTTAAGACCTTGTATGTGAGGAGCAGGATTTTGAATTCAATTCTGGATTTAACAGGAAGCCAATGAAGGGAAGCCAATACAGGAGAAATATGCTCTCTCTTTCTAGTCCCTGTCAGTACTCTTGCTGCAGCGTTTTGGATTAGCTGAAGGCTTTTCAGTGAGTTTTTTGGACATCCTGATAATAATGAATTACAGTAGTCCAGCCTGGAAATAATAAATGCATGAACTAGTTTTTCAGCGTCACTCTGAGACAGGATATTTCTAATTTTAGAGATGTTGCGCAAATGGAAGAACGCAGTCTTACATATTTGTTTAATATGTGCATTGAAGGACATGTCCTGGTCAAAAATGACTCCAAGGTTCCTCACAGCGTTACTGGAGGCCAAGGTAATGCCATCCAGAGTAAGAATCTGCTTAGATACCATATTTCTAGGCTTTTCAGGGCCGAGTACAATAACCTCAGTTTTATCTGAATTAAGAAGCAGTAAGTTAGCGGCCATCCAGATTTTTATGTCTTTAAGACATTCCTGCAGTTTAACTAATTGGTGTGTGTTATCTGGCTTCATGGACAGATAGAGCTGGGTGTCATCTGCATAGCAGTGAAAATGTATGCTATGTCTTCTAATGATACTGCCTAAGGGAAGCATGTATAATGTAAACAGAATTGGTCCTAGCACTGAACCCTGTGGAACTCCATAATTAACCTCAGTGTGTGAAGAGGACTCTCCATTTACATGCACAAACTGGAGTCTATTAGATAGATATGATACAAACCACTGCAGTGCAGTACCTGTAATACCTACAGCATGTTCTAATCGCTCTAATAGGATATTATGGTCGACAGTATCGAATGCTGCACTGAGGTCTAGCAGGACAAGCACAGAGATGAGTCCACTGTCAGAGGCCATAAGAAGATCATTTGTAACCTTCACTAAAGCTGTTTCTGTGCTGTGATGAGCTCTGAAACCTGACTGAAACTCTTCAAATAAACCATTCCTCTGCAGATGATCTGTTAGCTGTTTGACAACTACTCTTTCAAGGATTTTTGATATGAAAGGAAGGTTGGAGATTGGCCTATAATTAGCTAAGACTGCTGGGTCTAGAGATGGCTTTTTGAGTAAAGGTTTAACTACAGCTAGCTTGAAGGCCTGTGGTACATAGCCGATTATTAGAGATAGGTTGATCATATTTAAGATCGAAGAATTAATTAATGGCAGGACTTCTTTGAGCAGTTTTGTAGGAATGGGGTCTAAAAGACACGTTGATGGCTTGGAGGAAGTAATTATTGAAGTTAACTCAGAAAGATCAATTGGAGAAAAAGAGTCTAACTTAACCTCAATGGTACTAAAAACTTATAAAAGATTCGAGCACTACAGGCTTGAGCAATAATAACAACCCCCATCATAAGCTGACAGTAGAACAAAGTATTCTGCTTATTACTAAGTCTTAAACTGAGTAGTTAAGTAGACCTTTTTGGGCCTGAGTAACTATATGTGCCATTGTGACCTTTTAATTCATAAAAACGTTTCCTAGTGTGAATTTTTGAATTGAGCCGTTCTCAAAGAGTATGAAATTAAGCAGCAAATGTATGTGTGAGAGCAGGAGAAATACTTACAAATCAAACACTTTTCATCTCTTTGTGAGGTGGATTGTGGGTAATGAGTTTTCTTCCTGCTAAGGTGGCTGTTGTGTCATTGTTGTTTAGTTTAATCTGCTTGGTGGCTGTATTTTTTCACATTCTAACAAAGCCCCTTTTCCATTATGTGTGTGGCTGTCGTCATAGCAACACGTCTGAGCGTCCCGCAACATAATCAATATGCGACATGAATGCTACAAAATCAATTGATAATCCTGGGGCTGGATAGTTTAGACGTTTTAATGTAGGAAAAAAAAGGAAAATATCAGACATCAGTATATTCAGCAGGTGTTGTTATCATCATTATTCATTTATTGTGTATATGAGTCTGTCTAACTGTAGTGTGCTTGTTTCTTTAGGTCACCTGGTGATGGACCTGAACCACATGTTGCGTCCAGCAAAGTCTCCAGAGAAGTGTACTCTTCAGGTGCTCGACCAGCCACCGGACAAACTGGTGTCTCTGTTTGAACAGAAGACCGTCAAAGGCTGGTGGCCCTGCACCTGCGAGAACAATGGAGAGAAGATCATCGCTGTGAGAGCACAAACACACACACAACCATTTTCAACAGGGTGCGAAAACATATAAGCCCACTGCATGCTTCAGGCTCATGAAACAAATTTTAATGATAGATCAAAGTAAACCAAGTCCATGCCAAATGCAAGAAAATCTTGAAATATTTGTAATTCATATGCCATACAGTTATTTATCAAACACTGGCACTGAGTATTTTACTTTGTATTGACATGAAGTTTAAAATTCCCAATAAAGACAAAGTAAAGTAAACATCATTCAGCCTCTGAGCAATAACCGTTTTACCCACCTGCCAGTCGTGCCTACTTTGTTCTCTGAAGAAAGGATGAGACAAACTATGTTTTTGCTGCCTCCATTTCAGGGGAAGGTGGAGATGTCTCTGGAGATAGTGACAGAGCAGGAGCAAGAGGAGAGACCAGCCGGCCTCGGCAGAGATGAACCCAACATGAACCCTCACCTGGAGGAGCCTCAGTGAGTCTACACACACACACACTAAAAACCACACACACAAATATAGTTTCTCATTCTTGTCTTTTCTTCTCTCAGGCGTCCAGAGACATCCTTCCTGTGGTTCTCCTCCCCTTACAAGACCCTCAAATACATCCTGTGGAGACGGTTCAAGTGGTTCATCATTCTCTTCATTTTCCTCTTCTTCATTATCCTCTTCCTTGGAGTCTTCCTCTACTCCTTCCCGGCAAGTTTTAGAG